GAAATAATATCTTTATATAAAATTATACTTAATATAATTATTAATTATTAATTCCTTTTAAAAATATAATTTTAATACCCTTTAATACTTTCTAATACCTTAAATTAATTATATAACGCCTTATATATTAGTAAGTTTATTAATATTATTATTACTTAGCTAAGTAGCTGGGATAACCTTAATATAGTCCTTAGCTTTATTTTTATTTTTATCTTTATCCTTAGCCTTTTTAATAATAGTAGTAATTACTATAAACTATATTATAAATACTTTCTTTTTTTTTTATAATTAATTATTTATAGTTTTTTATAATAAAGTTTTTTAGCTATAGCTATAGCTATAGCCTTATAATAACCTTTATAAGCCTATAACTTTAAATTATAATAAATTATAGTATATACTTAGCTTTATATATTACTTAAGGTAATATAATTATAAAGTTTACTTAAGCTACTGTTATTATATTAATTTTAATAATTATAGCTATAAAGCTTTATTTTTATTATTATTAGTTATTAGTATTAATAATATTATTATTTTTTTATTATTTAAAAAGTAAGGCTAGTTATAAAAGTTTTAGATAATATTAAGGTTATAAATTTAAAGTAAGGGCTTATTAATATTTTAAAATTAAGTAATTAATAGCTTTTTTATAGAAAATAAAAAGAAATTTTACTAAAGGCTTAGTTAGTTATTATTATAGGTAAATATTTTTTTTACTAAAGGCTTTATTATTTTTTAACTTTTTAAAAATTATATAATTATAAAGGAATATATATTACTATATAAAACTATTAGTATAAGGCTTTAATAGCTTAGGTATTAAACTATAGTTTAATAGTATTATAGCTATAGTTAAGTAATATTACTATATAAGGAGATTAATAATAATATAGTTAATAATTATTAAAATATTACTTAGCTAGTCCTACTGCTAAATAAAATACTACTACTACTATATTTATATTTTAGTTACTTTTTAATTATAATTTTACTTTTTCTTTTATAATATTAAGGTAATAGTATTATAAAAGTATAAGAGATTACTTATATTAATAATAAAAAATAATTTTATATTTTTATAAGCTATTTTAATAAAATTATTAATTCTTTAGCTAAAGTTATAATATTATTTAATAAAGTAGTAAGCCTACTACTTTTACTATAGTATATATTTTTTTAAAATATATTATAAGATATAGTTTTATTTAGTATTATAAGTTACTTTTATTTTTACTTATACTTATGTAACGGGATTCCAATAAGGACTCTATAAGCTGTTGTAAAGGGCAGTGCTAGCCTAGGCTGCTAGCATTGGCGGATCTTTTTACAGGTCTATTGGCTCAATTGGCACCCTTTCCATTTGTTGTTACAACTTAGTAAAAGCTATTTTTATCTTTAATATAAATAATTTACTTTTAAATATAAAATATACTTTTATAAAACTAAGGGTTAATAATAAATAGTAAGGTAGTATAGCTATATTTAATAATCTTTTACTTAATAATATAAGTAGTAAAATTATTATTAACTTTAATAGTAGTATTATTAGTATAAGCTTAAGCTTTAAAGAGGTTTTTATTACCTTTAGTAACCTGTCAGAGCCCATTTAAAGAGGGCGCGGTCGCGCAACGGCCGCGCACCGGCCACGTTACAGGGGCGCGAGCTAAGGGTTGCGAAGCCCTTAGCTTAGCAATAACACTATAAAAGACCTAAAATCTAGGGAAGGAATTAAGGAAGGCAGAGATAAATACAGTCACTTCGCTACCCTAAGCTTGCGTATTCGCTGTGTAGCTACCTGTGATCATCCCTTATCCCTCTTCACTCTCTTCCACCAACCCGGCTTCTGACATAACCTTAGGCTTATTATTATTAACTTTATTATTACTACTACTATCTTTACTCTTTTACTTTAATTAAATTTTTATATTAACATTAGCGTTAATATAATATATATATAGTTATTATTAAATATTAAAAAATATAGCCTTAAGTATATTTTTAAATACTATTTTTTTATTTATAATTATTATAATTAACATTAGTATATAAAGGTTTTAATAAAGTTCCTTAAGTTATTTATATAGCTAAAAAAAGCTATTTTTTTACTTTATATTAATAAAGCTAAAGGTAAAATTAGCTATTAACTTCTAATTTATAATATCTATAACCTTAAAGAGATATATATAAAATTAATTAGTTTTATATATATTATTAAGGCTAAAGACTTTTAAAAACTAATATTATATTATCTTTAATTAAGGATAAGTTTATAAAATACCTATAACCTTATTATTAATATTAAACTTAATATAGTAATAAAGCTTATTATCTTTAAGTTACTTAATTTACACTTAAGTTATTAATAAGCTATTAAGTACCTTAATTTTAATCTTCTGTTTATTATTATATATATTTAACTAATAAAAGAAAGTAAGCTTAGTAATAGTAATATTAAAGTTTTTTAAAATTTTTATTATTTTATATATAAGTAAGGCCTAGTATTTTATTAAGTTTTACTTTTATTATTATTAAGCTAAGGTATATTAGTAATATATATTATATATTAAAGGGTTAAAAAATAATAAATAATTATACTTATTATAAATAATATAGTATAATTACTTTTAGTTAATACTTTTTTTTACTATTACTATAATTTTATAAAGGTATTTTATTTATTAAGTTAAAGATTATTAAATCTTAGTGCTTTTTAAAGCTTAAGTATTAGTATAATTATAAATAAAGGTATAATTTAAACTTTTATATTATTAATAACTTATAAATTAATACTTTTTTTAATATAAAAGGTAGTACTATTATAGTAATAAAATATTTATAAAAAGCTAAAAAGATTTTTAAATAAATTATATATTACTAATAGTAATATAATATTATATTAAGTATTTATAATCTTTTTAACTTATTATAATACTTTTATAATATTTTTAGTTTATTATAATACTTTTAGTATATATATAAGTAGCTATAATATTTTTTTAATATATAAAAACAGCAGCGGATACTTAATATTATTTTTAATTTAAATTATTACTTTTTTATTATAGAATTTATAAACTTATAATTATTTAAGGTTAAAGCTATTTTTAACTTTAGTAGTTAATACTTTTACTAATACTAGTATATTTAATAATAAAAAAAAGGTATTAATTTTATTAAGGCTAATACCTTAGGAAAGCTTTAATAATAGCGGTAGGTTAAGGGGGTTATTACCTAAGGAGGAAGCTATTATAATATAAATTATAATATTAAATATTATAATATTTAATAATAAGGCTAAAAAAACGTAAAGTTAAAGCCTTATATTATATTTTTTTACTAAATACGTAATACACTAGGGTATTATACTATAATTTAGTATAGTTTACTGGGAACGGTAGTATAGGCGTATTAATTTTAGTATAAGCACGGGCTACTACTGTGAAAATAGGAATATACTACTGTGAAAATAGGAAGACTTAACATTTTCTAACCTGCAGTACTAAGAAACTCATGTGACATTGGAGGCGGGGCAACTCGCGTATCTGTCTCACGTTATTGGCGCCAATTCTGTTACTAATGTAGGGACAAATAGTCTCTACTGTTCTTATTGCCTGACCTCATGAAGACTATATACCGGAAACTTTTACTCGTTGGCAATCTCTTGGGTGAGAAATAATATCTGAGTAGCGGGGCCTGGTGTCAGATACCTCATGAATTCGTATACTAGATGAAACCAATTGTGTGAAGCGCTATGTGTCGCGATACCACAACATTTGGCGCACCCTTTCCCTTTCACCAATAGAGAGGTTAATTTCTTCGAAGACCTGTGGGAAAATTGTAAGATAATACCTAAGAGAGCACTTTACAGAAGAAACTTGGGCATCCAGGTATGAATCATTAGCATAGGGACTTAACGGCAATTATCTATTGGTGTGAATAAAACTTCACAAAAGTAAACATCCGTAGGATACTCCTTCTCAAAAGAAAGAAATAAAGACAAGACAGAAATGATGAATGATTCAACCTCATGGCCGGTTCGGAAATATAAGAGAAAATTATCTGCGAATGACAGATTGCAGTTTGCTGAATAACCATATGAGCATAATATGGTGTATAAATAGATCACACTAGGGAGCACAGATATATATTTTGGTCTTGGTGCAGATGTTGTATTTTTAATCATGATTCCAGGACCAACAAGCCTGTAATAGCTGGTTGAGTGAAATGTCGTGCCCAGTCCTTTGTTCAAAATTGAGAGTCAATTTTTAGCTTTGGCTATTTGCAGCAGTATAAAAAAACTAGACCTGATAGATGCGACTGGCAGAAGCGCATAAAGTATGACTGCTGATAAAGAATCAAGCCGGTCTTGATTTAAAGACACTAAGATGAAGAAGTCTTGAAATATCTTTATATCTTTACAGCTTTGCTATAGTACTATGAGTCTTGTCGAAAGATATATACCAAAGTGCCTTAGTGATATATTGCTCACATAATATATCGGGCTTGTACTCCACCATTATCTTTTCTCAGATATCAGGTACTTCGTTTCTCTATTGATCTGATGCGAAAAGGTGGGAATATTACCATGCAGGTGCTACTTAAAGCCCGATGGGATTGCGGTGAGATTCCGAAACTGAGTTGTTGAGTTCGCGGGTTTATAGTGCGATTCTACAATATGCCTAAACGACCAGTTAATAGTAATCGCTGCAATTCTTTACTTTTCGTCCCTTTAAACTTACATTGTAAGCATCATGCCTGATGATTTTGGGCGAAGGGATTACTATTATAAGACTTCTTCTAATATCTGAGACTAAGTACGGAGTATAGTCAATAGATCACCATCTGAAAGTCTACTTAATGGGCGCCTACCCCAGACCAAAAAGGCACGAACGAATCAAACCAGTCACCTATCGAGATCTCCTTGTGCATTTTCATAACATTAAAATAATTGTTTTCGCTACCTGCATTATTTAAGCATACCTTTTTTATTCATCAACATGTCCTGCCAGGTATTCAACGGGACGATTCCGAAAGGCGTCTGTGCTGCCGGCAGCGATAATTCCACCTTTCTGGTCGCAGATTTCAAAAAATGCTGTGGTCCTGCCCCTGTCGTCTAGTATTACAGCAACACTACTGGTTGCAGTGCGTATTGTCCAATTGTTTCGAATGGTCCATCCGGCTCTGAGCTCCAAGACTGTCTTGCTGGAGCAATAGGAATTGGTGCGTGCAACGGTATAGACGACTTTGCCTCACCCAGCGCTCTTGCACAGGCGAGCGCAATGGCCTCAGCGACTGTTTGCGCTGCTTGTGCCGTAGCGGCGACTACTACAAATGCGGCTGCTACCTCTACCAATGCCGCTATTGGGATTCACACGCCCGATGCCGCTTCGTGGAAAATTGTATTCACCATCGGAGTCATATTATCCATTGGACCCTTCACTGGTTTCCTCATTTAAAAATCCGGCTCATCGGCATGAATGAAAGATGGATGAAACATGGACTCTGGGCTCCCTTAGCGCCTTTTCCCCTTTCGGCGGGGCCGTTAATTTCTCGGTAGCAAGGGTAACTTGTTGTTTATGGATACCGACTGTCGTATGTCTGACACTCGGTAGGAAGCTGTTCTTTCGAAAGAGGAAGGCAGAATAATGGACCATTCCCATTATGATAACTGCTATTTTCATCCATGAGCTTTTAGCGCAATATGGTGGTTCGCAGGTTTTTTCATTTGCCTAGAAAGGCAGGACACTGATGTCTATAAGCTTATGTTAATAATATGTCTCGACGCTATTTGATTCAATAGGATTATACGCTTAACGTCTCGTATGTTACTTCGGGCCGTTTGTCCTCATCAATACTTCTCCTGTGTACCTGTTTGATCAACTATAAGTAGTCTACCATCTCCGTATTATTCATTACATTGGCATCCAGCAGCAAAAGCGATTCAATAAGCCAGTCTTCCTCACAAGCCACCTGCTATTATTCTTCTACGCCCAACGGCAGAGCATTTTCAAAATGAAGACCCAAACCATCGCTTCCGTTGGCCTTTTCGCCAAGCTGGCCCTTTCTCAATCAGTCATCAACTCTGGAAACGGATTTGGAACCTACTACTACGACGTTGTTGATACGAATGGCTGCGGCAACAACTTCGCCAACATCAACACGGGATTCGTTGAATGCAACCAGTTTACCGGCTTGTCCCTGAACCAGATCAACAGCAACAACGTTGTTGCCATGAACCGCACCCTTCTTGCTTCAAACTTTGCCAAGTACTGCGGTAAGAAGGTTGTTGTCAGCTTCAACGGTGTTCCATCCAGCCAGCAGTTCTTCATCGGTGATGGCTGTGAGCGTTGTGCCACTGGACCATCTACCGCCAGCGTGTGGAACCCCAACGGTGCTCCCGGACTGGATTTCAGCTTGAGCGGCCTTGATGGAATCAACTCCAACGGCTGCTTTGCTGGACATCTCGACATCTCTTGGCAGATTCTGGACGAAACTCTCTACAACTTCGACACAAATGCTCCCGGTCAGCCCACCGGCCCAGTCAGCGGCGGCGGAAGCAACCCCGGAAACGGTGGTGGCAGCAACCCTGGAGACGGCAGCGGCTCCTGCAGCTGGGCAGGCCACTGTCAAGGTGCAACCTGCAGCACAGATGATGATTGCTCCGACCCTTGGGGCTGTGTCAACGGCATTTGTGGCGGCAGCTCAAGTGGAGGCTCAGCTCCTCCTCCTTCCAACACTTGCAGCTGGGTTGGTCACTGCATTGGTGCTTCTTGCGGCTCTGATGATGACTGCTCCGACAACTTTGTCTGCAACAGTGGCAAGTGTGCCAACCCCTAAATTATGCAAGCGATTAGGAACACGATTGCTCCAATGCGTTAGCGTGTACCAAGGGACGGTGCAACTTTGGTTCACTTACAAGTTCATATGAACTTGGAGGGTTTTATTCTTATGTTCAATGTGTATATATGTTGATGACGGATGTTTATACTTACCTATCTTTTGCATGTATATAGTACAGTCGGCATATAGGTACAAACTGTAAATAGGCGAAGAAGTATATAGCTTTATAAAACTTGTATATATCTCTAAACAAAATTGTCATTCCGTGATATCTAGTAGTGCCTACCAAGCAAATGGAATATAAGTGGGCTGCCTTTCACTACCTATGTGTATTAACTCAACGCAGTGCCATTTGTCCACAGTCGATATACGTTTAAAGTTTGACAAATTATAAAACTATAAGTACCATGCTATGCGCGTTGTTAATTAGCACTGTATATATATAGCTGTTGCTACCTCGTCCTAGTCTGATGCATCGATATCGTACTCAATGTCCGTCCTTATTATATACTTGGCTCCTTTTGTGACACTCGAACCTTCATGCAATAGTGCTCCCCGCGTTTCGCCATGCGGAAAGATAGCGACGCCACCCATAACTGGCCGCACGCGGTAAGCATTGAGTGTCCCCTCAAGAGGCGCTGGCATGAAAAATGTTGTTTCTCCGCCTTCAAATTCGTCGTTCAGATACAGTAAGAAGGTAAACAATGAGCTTTGTTTCTTCGTCACGGGTGAATCGTCGTATACATACGTATCATCAGCCCGGATGCCAGATGGTGGCCAGGCTCCATCAATATGACATCTATATTCGGCACCGGGAACATACCGATACACTCGGAAACGCCGATTGAGGCCACGAGATAAACGACCATTAACTGAGGCTGGCACAAATGGAGAAATCCGTGACCAAAGCTTATCATGAAACGCGGTATCGATGATCCAATAGAAGTTGTGTGCCAAAACACTGGTATCCCCACCCTCACGAACGGGAGTATCAGGGAGAAAGCCGACTGTTTCACCAACAGCAATAATAGCCTTACACTCCTCAGGTGAAAGAACGTTTGCGGCAAGACCGAGATTTGGCACATGGGGATGCTTGTGATGTGTTATTTGAGGACTGTCTGATGATAGAAGCACTGTATCAGGCTGAGAAGTATAGAGGATGGCCGGGTGATGATTGGGAGGGTTGCGGAGATGGCCAGGTGTTGTTTCGATGATACGGAGAGAAGAGGCGACTGAACTCGGTGCCGAGGCGAAGATTGACTTGTCCAAAACTGATTCATAGACTTGTTGTGGCTTGATAGGTGACCGAACATCCCATGTGGCCTGAAAGGAGATGTGGGATAAAGACCCCGGCTGGGGCTTTGTGACGCTGGTGTTATCATCAATCGGGCAGCTAACACGCAGTACAGCATCGAGTACGCTGAGAAGTTCATCATCTTTTGCGGAGCGCTGAGGGTTGTCGATGCTTATACCCTTAGGCTGCGTTACAACATCAAGGTCTCGTACCCAACGACACAAGGCACCTAATTTGGGGTCTTCGCCTCTGAGTCGCATTTCAGCAAGTAAAATCCTCGCCTCGAGGTACTTTTCATCGGCTAGCGCACCAGAGACCCGTGATGTGAGATTCGCATTCTCCGCTAAATGGAACCTCAGCTTCGCCATCCATTACGATACCAGTTATCACGGGAATGGGCTTACTGGTAGCATTGACGCCGGTAGTGCACGATTGGCGAAAATCGTAGACAGCAGTTCGAAGGCTTCTGCAAAGCTTGGACTTTGTCAAGCCAGGGTATTGTGCCAGAGTCGTAAGGGTGTCAATAGTGATATCTAGCTCTTCGTCCGAAATGACCGTCTGCAAGCGCTTGATCTCAAATGGTTCGTCATCGGGCAATGAAGCGACCGATGGGGCTGCGTTTGTGATTTTGATGTGTTTTTGAGGGACTTTTACTTGAGCATTTCGCTTTCGTTTCATCGACTTGGACTGCGTCATTGTTATATGATGTATGTATACAGAAGGGTATTTATATTTGATGTGTTTAATATGAGCTTTATTTAAATGATCAAAGGCTGATAGAGTGCAGCCCATGAATGAGAAAATTTGGAAGGCTACGCTGTGTCATCAGCCACTGCATGGCGTCGGAATAACCCAATTCCGACAGGCCAATAAAAAGCGTTCTCAACTAACCTTGGTAGTTACTCTTCACTGCCATAAAAAGCGTATTAAAAAATATCAATTGTTAAAGAACATGAAGAATATATTATATGTGAAGAGCTAGATGAAATCTGACTTCGCTGTTGTGAAAAGACATGTGAATTTTTTTTTTCTTTTAATTGGACTTTACCTCTATTTTCTGCCTAATTTGTTGGCTCCTCGATATCCTTTCGTCTGTATAAATTCCCAACTCTTTTGTATGTCTAGGCCGTGGAATATTGTGAAAACAAATGTTCTCAGATTTAAGACCCATGGTTCATGTGGTATGTAATGGGAGATACATAGAATGACTCACCTTCGTATTCTTCTGTGGCTATTGGGTTATAACCAACGTAATATTCCATTTCGAGTGGTCGAGGCTAGACAACTTATAATCAAGACACATGTACAGAAATAAATACCATAGTCTAGTTGCCTCTCAATGATGCCAATTCTTTTGTTAGTGTAATATCACACAGGGCCAACGGCGACTCACTTTGCCAGAGAATTTTCTACCACGTCATAGCACAAGGGCAGCATCAAGGCCGGCGTTGTCATGAATGCGGGGTGATATTCGGCAGGTCCATTTTCTGATATAGCTGAGAACAATTGCGTGGTTATGATTTCGTACCTGATGTGTGATAGTGCTGATATATGGCGACAACTTCTCGATGCTTAGGCGTTACCCTTCTCACTTCAGGTCAACGTCTCTGTTGTCGCCAGCTTGTTCGAAGACAGAGCCAAGTCAATGGCGTGCAATGGCGTGCAATGGCGTGCAATGGCGTGCAATGGCGGATTGCCTCCATGATTCAATGAATACAAAGTTTGCTACTCCTCACGATACAGAGAGGCGCGTGTTGTGTCGGTAGTGATAAAAATGACGACGATTGTTCCTGGACTCTCAGGAGGAATTGTGCATGTAGGTATCTGCGTTAAACATAGTACTATTGTGGCCCTTGACTTCAGATTCTCAAGCATATCACTTTGTAACGTAGGTATGTATTGATCTCAAGGTACTGCAGATAGAAGACACATAAAATGCTATCAATACGTGACAAGACATAGCTCTTTTAGACCCTGCGTTTATAACCACCATCGCATTGTCACTGATCGAGAAATAAGTTGCAAGCTAGTACAAAATCACCTCTTAGAGCTCCAAAATGCACACCACCATGATACATACATATGCAGTTGACCTCTCATACGCAGTTAAAAGTGTTGGGTAGCTTTATACGTCAGCCAGTATTACAAATACTGTAATGTTTACATAAACTTCAATACTATTCTTAGGAGAAGGCAAACCACTGTAGCGGTCAATTATAAAAAAGTACCAATCTTTAGTCTGAAGCGCCGAGTCCATTCAACCAATCTTGCTGTAATTTCACAGATGACCTTCTATTTTATTACAACTCATTTCCTCAGCCTTGTCTTATCTTCCTTTCCCCCAGTGACGATATATGCGTGGTGTTGATGAATCATTTCTTAAGCTTATCTAGCTTGTTGAGTCGTGCATTTTCCAAGTTATAGCAAGTCCAATTCACAAAAAGCTGTACCATAAAAACATATCCCTGAGGTCCTATCAACGCTCCCGTGTCATACTCTGGGTCCATCCAGGCAGTCCCAGGATATAATATTGCCGACAAGCCAGCGATAGTGGTTAAAGAGCCGACGAGCGCCGCAACAAAGAGTGAGTCCTTAGCAGCCTCGACGTTGGCATTGCGTCGGCCGAGCAAGTAAAGTGAAGTCAAAGCGGAGAGAGCGCCGAAGGACATGCTCTGTCCATTGTGGAATTTGGCATGAGGTGGCCAACGTGGGTTGAAGACATGTGTGTGACTCCAGTCGGCAAAGTATGCTGCTGTTGCGAAAAGGACATTCCCACTGGCCATCAGGCCTCGTGGAAACGAGTCAAACAGATGAGACATTGCAAACATTGGATTTCTGATATCTTTCGAAAGAGAGTGTGTAGCTTCCGAACTCAAAAGGGGTGTCTGCATTGCCCATATTTATAAAAAGTTTAACCCATAGTGACCTGATCACCGCTCTCGCCGGACTTTCTCGCTATTATTGCTACTTATGAGGACATAATTCAGACAAGCCCGAAGTCCGTTCATTGTTTGCTCCACTTAACCAGTAGCACAGGGTGTTTGTTTCTCGATACCCCGCATGCCAGTTGTCCGTCTGGACGACTTATTCTTTTAGAATGGTTTACCGAGTTTCTCCTGTACCCTGCAGAGCACCCAAAAGCAGGCTTGGCAGGGTTATGTTCTCTGGTTACAGTTAGTCCGCAAAAAGCTCCGCCGCTAAGCAGCGTAAAGTACCTTCACAGTTGCTGCACTGGTTACAGCGAAGTATCTACTAAAAGTCGAGTCAATGCCGCCTGGTTCGGGGTTGTTCAGTTGGATTAAAGATACCCAATTTAATCAAGGTCATGCAGCTGAATCAAAACTGTCTAATTTAGATTGAGTTATACCCAGTACTATTAGAGTAAAAAAGGACTGTTCTTGTAGCAGTGACGCGCTGTATTACCTACAGCAGAAGTGTATTAACGTTTGAGCGGATCTTTATATGCACATGCCCCGCCTATATTAGCTAGTATTTCGGAAACTACGAGGGATCCTTGTGCCTACTTTTTGTGTTAATGCCTACAGCGTTTCAACTTGAGATTTTTAACCTTTCAATTCAGTTATTCTATAAAGGCTAATCCTTGAAATCTACTCGAAGTTCCTGCAAAGTGCCAGATCCAAAGTAAGGAGAAATCATCAACATAGCATCCGTAGCTATTCTTAGTATCCACTTATTGAGCAGATGCAGAAGAGGCCTTTTCCTTCTCTTGAAGTGCTTTCTGGACTGCAGGGCGGTCTAAAAGACGCTTCATCCAAGCCACGTAGTTCGGGGCCTCTTTGTCTAGATCAACACCTGCAGATTCCACTGCATTCTGCCCGATCAAAGACCAAGTGATAAAACTCAAGTCTGCATACGTTGCCTTTTCCCCGACCAAGTAATTTTTACCTTCCAGTATGGTGTTCAGTACACCAATGACACGCTTAATCTCGTTCAAATAACGCTCCTTTGCAGAGGGCAGTTGCTCATGATGAAGCCTTGCAAACCAAGTATATTGGCCTATATCGTTATTTCCGAATTAATTTTGACACTATAGCCGGCTGTTATGCATTGGACTTACCAAAGTATGGGCCTTGCCCCGAGACTTGAAAGTATAGGAACTGCTTCTCGAGCCACTTTTCCGGACTTTGTGAACCATGAGAAATCTTCTGCTCAGTATCATAATTCTCAATAAGGTATTCGATGATGGCACCCGATTCCCACAATGTGATACCAGTATTAGGGTCTCGAATTGCAGGCACACGGCCATTTGGGTTTACGTCGGTGTAAGGGGCTGATTTGATGGTGGCGGGTGTCTCATAAACAAGAGTATAGGGTAGCTCTAACTCTTGGAGGATGATAACCACTTTCCAGGGATTTGGCCCGCTGCTATGAGCGTGAAGAGTGATGGGCTTGATTGAAGACATTGTAAAAAAAGTAGCAGTCAATATTCTTAATGCGAAACTTTGCTGAGAAGACTGGAGAAAAGCCGATGATGAAGCTGCGACTATTAGTTCTCAAGGCGCTTTAAATAAAACCACTATACCTTTGGTACGATGATCAAACCAACAATCCTACTCAAATCCGTCCGTTAGTGTTAGGCTGAATAATTGTTACACCTGAGTTGTTAAGCTCGGAGAGAAAACACACCGATCGCATTCGACATGGTCAACCCTCTGCTGATCAACATCGGAGAATAACAAGCGAGACGTCACAGATAATCGTATGGGTCACCCATTCTAGGATCGGTTTTGGCGCACAAGGATATGCCAAGCATGCACCTAGAATCGACTCCGATGCATGTTTTGAGAACTTTTGTCAAACCTTGATTGCAAAGCATAGCCTCGTTCAAATCTTGTACAATCGATTTCACCGACTACACTGTCAAACTTAGTCCCGGCAGATGCATGCCCTTGAGAAACGGTTGTGGCACTTGTCTCGGAATGTGAATTCCGAAATCCGGTCCAACGAAAGCTAACAAGGATCATGCCGAGATATCAACTGCTTTGGCTAGCTTAATGCGGAAGCATTTTGAGAGCTGATAGTTAGCCGCGCGCGTTTAAGAATCATTGGATAGTGGCCGAATTTGTCAGCTGTCTTACCAGTCACTCACTGTTGTTTATGTTCTTGCCTTGAACTCCTATTTTGACCAAACCAATCGGCAAGTATTCTTGAAACGCTTGTGTTGATTCGGGCAAGGCGGAGTACTTTACCGTAGACCCCTACTCATACAACCCCCCCTCGTGAAATCTATGCATATTGGGAAATAGCTTTCCTCTAAACTCATATACTGTTGTCTACATTCGGAGTACAGCAAGCGGGACAGATATCGCAATATGGTTGGTGTTGCGGGACGTAGTAAAGCTTGTACCACCTGCAAGGCGCGGCATGTGAGGTGCGGTATGTCAATCGCTCGCACTCTTTGACCGTTGCACCATTCTGGATGTGGACTGACGCAATCCAATGGCTGCGGTAGATGCACGGCATCCAACTTGTGGCCGTTGCGAAAAGGGCGGTTTTCAGTGCCAAGGCTATCGCCGCCCCCTTCGATTCATTAATTCCACAGGGCGAAGCGCCAAGAGTAATCTATTGCCGCAGGGAGGAGGCAGTACTCGTAGCATCTCAAGGCCACAGGACATGAAGGGCGGTGCTGACAATCACAACGTTGGAAATGCAACCCTATCCAGACCGACGATTGACAATTTGCGCTTCTTTGACACGCCGCCCTCAGGGCTATTTTCCCAATCTTGCTTACGTATTTGGCCATCTAATGACATTGTTTTCACCACTTCATACGCACATGTCGCCATTGCAACCACTGCGGCTGACGACAATATCAGCGCCCTTATCATCGGTAGCCGTGTCTGGGCCCAACTTCATGGAGATGTCGCCAAACACGTCCAAAAATTCGTTTACAACCTTCTCATTGCGCAAGGTATGGGCCTGGGAGTGCTGGAGAGTCACCAATGGATCGGTGGCGGCATGCAGCCCTCGGCGCTTGAACTGTCTGTTGAAGCTGCTGCGCTGGCTCTTCATGGGCGTCTCACAAAGCATACAGTCAACTTGCAGCAGGCAATCGTGGTATATCAATTAGCGCTACGTCAACTCAGGATTCAACTCTCTTCTACTGATGGCAACTTCATGCCGTCACCGACTCTCAACGTATCACTACTAACGGTTGTCATGAACATGGCGCTTTTTGAGGTGAGTTGTTTGTGTACCATATGATTACTGCGAAGTGACACTGAAATGCTGGTCTTTTCATGCACTGCTAACATTTTATCATAAACGAAAGTGGATCACGAATTCAGCCAGCAATGGATGGAAAGAACATGTTCGCGGTTTGGCCGCATGGGTAGAAAAATGTGGCCCCGAAGCCTTTCGACAGGAAGATATGAGACTCGCATTTGAGAGAGCCAGGGCACATATTGCAAGTAACCCTTCTCAACTCTCGTTCAAGACTTCTGAACATTTTGTCTCGTGCCGACTTCCTTGTTCTGTAGCTGACATGGAGCCTCTAGATGCTGCTTCATATGGAAGAAGCCCGGAGAACCTACCTCGAAGACCCCTGCTGGCAAAGTATTCCTTGGAGTGAGAATCCGAGTCAAAAATCCTTTGCCAATCGCTATATCGATATTGTTTGTTGTATCCCAGGCATCTTGGAAGATGAAAAGCTGCGCGTTACGATGCGGCAAGAATACGCCTCAAGCGACAGAACATGGCCACATGATCTATACGAATCACTGAGGCAGCGAGTCGTCCTCCTATATCTTAAGCTTCTAAACTTACGTTGGGAGTGGGAGTTGCAGCATCCCGACTGCTGTTTCGAGGTATTCCAAGAATCCAGGATAGAAAGAGCAGATGTGTTGTCCGTCAGTGAAGCCACGGGTCAGCCAATCTTCAATTCTGTGCTATTCTTCACAGACTTCCGACGAGCCGTAGAGATCAACTTCTACCACTCTTGTTTACTCATTTTGCATGATATTGCAGGCGACTTGGGCATCATGGACGAGCTCAAAGAGCACCAGTCATCACGCTCGTGCTTCTCGTACAAGACAAATCCTCCGCTAACATTCCCACACGAAACTGAACCAGATCGTAACGCTGTACGTGATATCTGCCGTAGTGTGGAGTTCCTTCTGCAGCCGACACATGGGCCAGCGGGCGGCTATGTTCTCATGTTCCCTTTGCGCGTCGCACAGATATACCATGATATTCGGCTACCATCACGAGATTACAGCAAAGAACAAGTGAATGATATAAACACAGAAACATCTATGTCAGATGACTACTACGGGGATGAGTCGGATGTTCGCATTGTAGAGACGCAGTCTGGAATGAGCGTTGATCAATCTGTTGTGGACCATACAAGTTTTTCCGGCCTCGAGGAGCAAATCGAGAGGGTGAGAATGGATAGCCCACAGAAAGAAAATACTATATTAGAAGCGGAAAACAGCACAGCAACCAAGCTCGAACAACGTGCTATTGTTTCGGAATGGATCTAGAAGGTTATGCGATACATTAACAACGTACATGGGTTTAGCATATCGAAAAGCTATACTTCTTAGATCATGATGTTTGGACGAAAGAGAAGAAAAGAATTCAGATATCATTAGCATTTCAAAAAAGGAACGTTGCATGACTCTGTGATTGAGCTCGCTTTGTGATTCCCGGCTGTTCTCTGTTTCCACACGTAGTTGTTCCCAGTGCTGCTGCCATAGATTTGGGTCTTCAATCTCACATCTTATGCAAGAGGAAAGGCAGCTCTCAATATAATGATAAGTTCCTCAGGCTAGTTGTATACTTACATTAATTAACTTTTAAATCGAATGAGAATTCTCGGTAAGTAAGCACAGTTTTTCATAAGCGTTAAATGTTTAAGATTTGGTAAGGATGTATTAGGGTATTGAACGACAACACTGCTCTTAACTTGACACGCCCAAGTCACTTATCCAACCCTTGATATACGATATGGGTACGTATTGAACATAGAAACATATATACAGAAATGAGAATGATATAGAGGTATAGTCTTGTGAAGTGAGAGTAGCTATTGGCCATCGTCATTATCCCTTATTAAGGTGGGCAAAACGAACAATGCCGCGAGAAGCAAGTGAAAGGTGTGGAGGTACCACACCATTAGACACTTAAGATTGAGCAAGCACTGGCTATTTCAAGGGTTCCAAGGAGATTGTGCCCGGCTTCCAGTCAATAGTACACCGCCGTTCTCAGTGACTAAGATAGGATCTTCCAGTCTTATACCGAAGCCCACTTTCTTTCCGAGAAAGGCTGCCTCCTCTGTAGTGACGTAAATGCCCTAATCCCATTAGTTGTCAGCAAGACTAATAACAGAAGAGACGTTGGGACATTTTCCCAACGTGTAGATCATACCGGCTCATTTGTGGCTACTTCAGCCAGTTTTAACTTTTGATCATTAGCACCATTCAGATATGGTGGCTCGTGTCCTTCCAGGCCAAGTCCGTGTCCCAATCGGTGGGTGTAGTATTGGCCATACCCAGCACGCTTTATGACATCGCGAGAGGCACCGTCGATTGCCGAGCACGCTTCACCTGCATGCATGTGCGACAAACCAGCTGACTGCGCGTCCCAAACTATTTGCCAAACGGCCATGAGGTCGTCACTAACGGTGGCTCCGGTTGGTAGAATTGTGCGTGTTACGTCGCTGCAATATCCATGAAGTTCCGACCCAATGTCGATAAGGACAAATTCACCCTCCTGTAGCGTTCGGCCGGTCTCACCGCCATGGGGTAGAGCCGCCTGATCGCCAAACAGCGCCAGCACCCAAAATCCATGACCCACGCCAGCACGTGTGAATAGTGCCTGGGAGGCGTCGATAACTTCTTCTTGAGTCATACCAATTTGGATGCACCTTTGCAGGGACTGAACCAGTGCAAGCGTGAAAGAGTTGATTCCTTTCAGCAGAGCGATTTCGTCCAAAGACTTGATGGAACGGAGAGACTGGATGGTTTCTGACATAGGCACAACTTCAATTCCTGCCTTTTGCAGGCCGGCTGCAATCATAAAACGCGCATGCTCGTCGATCATCACTTTCTCGTAGCCCGTGCCTCGAGCGAGCGCTTCATATGGCGACTCTTCTTCGATCCAAGTGATTGTCGTTTTGTTGTCGAAAACCATGTCGAGTTTTGCAATGCGGCCAGCTTCAAACTTGGGTACTAACGTTGTGAATTGGCCATCCTTGTCAATGATCATCAGAAATGGGCGCTCTGAGAGATGAAAGCTTGAAGAAATGTTTGCATAATAAGACGTTGAAGCTGATGGTTCGGCGATGAAAGCATCGACCCCAGCGGCGTCCAGTTCGAGTGCCAGAGCCTTCTGACGACCAAGAAACTCGGACCGGCGAATCGGCGGAACCGATAACAGAGAGAGATGCGGCTCGAGGTGATTCCAGGCACATGTTTCCAACGGCGACGTCAAGCTAGACTTGGATTTGGGAGAAGGGTACGTCAGGGCTGCCAGAGCTAGCAACACGCAAAACAGTCCGGTCGGCAACAAAACTTTCCAGAAGATCCTGTTGCTAATTGATGCGGGCGGATATACCATCCCTTTCACTTCAACTGCTTTTGGAGCGAGTAGATATCGCTTCTCTGCATCGTTTCCAACTGACATCTTGGCGTATCACCTCCGGTTTAACGCGCGAGTGATTTGTGAAATCAGCAGGGACGCCAATTCCAAGGCAGCGCAAAACAACAGGATTTCCACTAGCGTAGAGCCCCGGTTCGGTTGACAAAGCAAGGATGCGCAATGCACCGTGTTGGAAAATACGCTGCAACCCGCCCATCGTATCTGAGCCTGTAATTTACTCTTTGATCATTCAAATCCATTGGAGAAATCGCTTGACGGCCTTCGAAATTGATGTAGTATTCCACAAGGTATCTGTTGCCACTGGCGGGTTGCATCGTTCACTCTCAACTGGCACTGTGCCATATCCCTCAACACCTAGGTAGGTAGGTGGCAACTACGATCTTTCTTTACCAGAAGCCGATTGTTGTTCACTCTGGCGATTGGTTGCTGCTAAACTTGACAGAAGTAGGGATGGAATTAAAGATTGCAGAAGTAAGCTGCGTCGTGATCCGCAAGACAGTATGCATATCATCGGTAGTAAGAGTATGTCGTCGGAATCCGTGCGATTCGAAGTGCGCACAAGAGATGCTGTCAACGCCGACCGTTTTTGTGTTTAGGGAAAAAAAGCAAGGAAAGAAAAAAAAAGGTATCAGGCCGAGAAACCTAGGACTGGATAAAAATAATTGTTGTTGTTCTGGTGTAACCGATATGGCATCCGGCTTCCAGGTCTCTGGTCGAGGAGCTAGGTAAATTCCGACCATAGACAATCTGTAGGCAGCACAAGTGTCGACAGTCCCACCATTCATCCTTTTATACGGGGAAACGATAATGAGTATTTGCTATGGGAATAGATATGGAGGTCAATCCGCCGTATCATGCGCACATATAGGATATGAATCGTCCCTATTTTCTCTGTAGCGGCGTTGATGCTGCTTGTTCTTCGTAAAAGTCACTACTTTCATCATCTTTCTGCAAGGGCCACGCAATGTCAAAGATCGACTCGCCAAGTTGGTCATGAAGGATATCAATCCAAAGAAATTGCTTTAGCTGATGACGTAGCTTATCCCAGCTCTCTACTTCGCAAAGCCTCAGGTTGACTTGTATCCAGGGAACAAGCCAAGCATTATCGGTAGGGCCGAATATCGATATGGCTCCCATCACAAGCAACCAGCAAAGCAAGTGAGGTGAGGATTCGATTGGAAACTTGAGTGTAAGGAGACAGTTTCGAAAGCGCTCCGGGAGATAAGTATGTGGGTATTTAACTCCTTGCCAGTGAAGGAAGACGTGCGATGAGAATGCTAACTGGACTAATCGAATAGATTCATTGAAGGAACCCGACTCGAAAGTCATATTGAGTAAACGATACATTACGGGCGCCATTGTATTTAAGAGGATTTCTTTTGGTAGCCGGCGCTTGTGTTCTGCAGCTGAGTTAATTACCAAGCAGAATCTTCTCAAGACACTCCAGGTATTTCCTAGTTTCTCATCAATATTTAGGTGTTCTAGGCTGGAATACGTCTCCTGCTGAGTTGGGCTTGAGTGTTGTGTCATGAACTGTTTAAAATCCGGATATGGCATCAAAAATTCCGACGATGGTTCAGTGAAGAAGACTGTCTTGGTACCATAGCTGAGTGCTATTCCCAAATCGCATCTAGAGTCCAGTGATAGCTTAGCAGATGAGAACTTAGCTCCGGAATGTGGCCGTCACTTACTTCAAGAGCTCTATTGAGAGTTTCGGGTGGTAACTGAAAGTGGACAAACCTCCTCTCAACTGAACAATCCTCCGGAGGCCGTCAATATGTGTCTTTGCGGTCTCATAGTCATTAATCATGTGCGCATGGCCAGCAAGGGCCAAAACAACAAGGATTGTAGGATCCGATATCTTGACCTCTTCATGTTTCGCCGCTAACCTCTCGCGGAGCAGCTGAAGTGCTCTAGAATGATGCATGATTACCGTTTTAACCGCCCCGGGATTGTTCTGGCTAGACGTATGCATGAAATAAGTCTGGGATGTGAAAAGGACAGTATGAAGATATGCGGCGTCTTGCGTCATGAGCTCGAACCACATTCGATCAAAATTGTCCTTTTTGTCAAAATTGATGCATCTTTCAAGAGGATAAATGACTCTTTTAGCCATAAAGGAGACTTGTTTTGGGCAATGGAAGTGAGCATTAGCAGTGCGCTTTTTGGCCGGTGCAAGGCAAGTACGGGGTGATGATTACATTTCAAGATGTCTTTGATCAACGCTGGCTCCACAGAATCTGCAAACTGTGTGAACGATACCTCAGATCCCACCTTTGGAGGGATGTGCGAATAACGCATGTTGATCGATAATCCGGGCGATACATCATCGCCATTGTAGCCCAAGTCACCCAGAGCAGGCTGGTGGTCTCCTCGCTTCACTTTTCGGGTCTTGCCTCGATTCTTCCCCAACATCACATGTCTTCTGATCAACTTTCGTTTGTTTGCCTCTGTGCTTCCGATTCCATCCGAAATAATGAATGGCATCTCCGCTGAATCATTTATTGCTCTGTTAGACGGATAAGTTCTTTTTAGGTACACACAGATATCAGTTACGTACCAACGCCATCTATAGGAGTCATCTTAGATATCTAGCTCAACCCGTTCCGGTCAAGCAGTATTATGAGTTGGACCAAATTATTGACCCTCTTAGCATTGATGTCAGAGTGTTGAACTAGGCGGAAATTGGCAATTTGGTCGTTTCGCAAAACGAGGTACGTGGTAAGATGAGTTGGAAAGAGTTCATCCTCTAGGGCCACGACCCATCTGCAACTGACTGTTTTCTGATTAAAGGCAAGCGTTGAAAGGAATTGTCTGCGTCCAGGTGGTTCGAGAATCATCCTCAAGCGTGTTGGAGAGCGTGTTGCGTAGGCTGGCATTGTGGCACAGCAACTCCAAAGTATCCACATGAGGTTAGCCGTCGCCGGCATTTTGAGGACCCCCTGATGATATGGAGATGAGACACTATTTGGCCAATCATATACATTTAAATCTGAAAGCTGGAGACCATACCTAATCCAGTAACCAATATCCTGCATTAGTGTCGCCTCATTCGGACGTTCTGTTTGACTCTGTAATTTCGTCTCGGTGCCATTGCTCGTAGGCGATTACTGACTGGGCAATAGTGTCAAAGGATGCTGATGAAGAGATTTTAAAACGGTCTTAACTCCGTGCCCAAATGGATCAGATACACGCACAAATGTGTATATATAGGTAGTGCTATCATCTGCCTTCTTCTCCTCAATAGTTGTCCGAAAGTGTGACATCTATTATACATCGAGTTAGACTGCTCTCTTCATCTTCTGAATTCATTTTATATTTCCGCCCAGTCGGAGAGTATCAACCGTCCAGTTCACCATGACATCTTCCAAAGAGCTGCCCCCGTTCACCTCTCCATTTTTCCCCAACTTATTTATCAAGAATCAATTCTTCACCAAACCTCGATTTCCTCCTCAAAGCACAAATCTTTCCGACAAAGTTGCCATTGTCACAGGTTCCAATACCGGCTTGGGTTTGGAATGTGCTCGTCAATTGCTTTCTCATAAGCTTTCACGCCTGATTATTGCTGTCAGATCTTCAGCAAAAGGCGAGGCTGCAGCCTCTAGTCTTCGGAAACAGTTTCCCAAATCCAGCATTGAGGTATGGCAGCTGGATATGTCTTCCTACGACTCTGTCCAAGCTTTTGCAGCGCGACTTGATAAGGAACTGTCTCGACTCGACGTTGCCATCTTGAACGCGGGAATGGGAAGAGCGGCTTTTGGTACTTCACCAGATACCGGACATGAGGAGAATGTACAGGTCAACTATCTGTCCACGATGTTGTTATCGATTCTTCTTCTCCCCATACTGAAGAAGAAATCGCCGGTAGGATTTCCCGGACGATTGACAATAGTTACGTCAATGCTCTCAATCACTGCCAAATTCGCAGTAAAAAGCGAGGTTCCTCTTCTTCCTGCATTTGACAGAGCCGATTTGTTCGATCCTCTTGATAATTATCCAACCTCAAAGCTCTTGGGTCAGTTATTCATATGGAAACTCACAGATATGGTATCGGCAGATGATGTCGTTGTAAATCTTGTCGAACCAGGATTTGTCAAAGGAACAGAATTGCAACGCGATATCGGGGGCGCAACAAGGATTATACTTAATCTCTTCAAGTCCATCAGCGCTCGATCTGTAAAGGTCGGTGCCTCAACATATATGGATGCAGCGATCGTTAAAGGGAAGGAATCGCATGGCTGTGTCATTATGAACTGGACCATTGCACCGTAAGTGGCAAATGATGTTTTTGCAGCACTAGCTACTTCTTTTGTTAACTTCGCAATCTAGGTACGCACCTTTCCAATATACTGCTGAAGGCAAGGAGATCATGAAGAGATTGTGGGAAGAGACTTTAAATGAGTTTAAGTTTATTGATGTCAATAGCATCCTGGGATCTTTAAAGACGGTTTAGCTCTTCGTTTGTTCATCTATTCTATTCTTAATGTCGATCAAGTAGCTCAAGTCCACATTTGAGTAATAAGGCGGAAGGGAGTAAGCATCAATCGAGAACCATAGTTCATTTCTAATTGAAAGGCTATATTAGCATCCAAACTACCACTACGTAACCAATTTTGCTCTTTTTAAGAGCGCTTTCAAAGCCCTTAATTGGTTACCAGTCTTTACAAGTTACCGTGGATTGTATCCATATGATGTACCAATTTTAGGAAATATGAAAATTGCGTCCACATTCCTAGGTTGACGATTGACTCCGACGTTGCTCAACACAAACCTGTTAACTAAATATGGCCCGGCGGGAGCAAAGTGAATTCCAGCTTCCCGTCCTTGGTGTATGATACGTCTAGGCTGAAGCGCAAGTTTAATAGCACTTTGGCACAAGCTTAACCTCAGGGTTAGATTGGATTGAGATACTTGTTGGGTGTGTCGCCCATCGATAGCTTCAGCTGGTCTATTCGGGCGACACCGATTTGGATGTAAATCTTCACTCACAAGATATAACATACCGCAATTACAAAGCAAAATGTTTAAAATTGTATTGAAATGTATTTAACCGCAGACGGTGACTCTGTAAACCTTGCAGTCATTGATCTAAGCCCTATATTCACGTTGTATTGCTCAAAATTCCACCTCGAACTAATCCAGTCATATTTAAATGCTGGAGGGATCATCCCAAGATCATCTCTTCCTAGTTCTTCAATATCTATAATAGCCTGCAGGCACTTTACCAGTACAATGCTGATCCATGTGGCACTATGAGAGACGACTTGTACCAGTAAATTTAAGACCTTTTGCCTAGTTTCGTAATTCCGACACTGAGTAATTATAATCGTCAAAGGGGGAATAAGCCAAAAGTCGAACATGAATTTCACATGGTCTGATATGATTTCCATGTCATTAACCAGTTTCTCGAGTACAATGATGATTTCTCGGTATTGCGTCTTCTTGGTATCCCAAAGCCGGTCGGTGGGATCCAAGCAACACTCTAAATATATTAGAGCTATCAGTACCTCAACTTCGATGGCCCTCAGTTCCAAGCGAGAGCGGATATCCTGGGTTCTGAGCATGCGCTTCAACAAGGGCTTCCATTGTCGAATGTGGGCGATATAACGGCATTGTTCGCCTTCATATTCGAATATCGGTGTCTCAGGACACAATGACATTGAGAATCTCTTGACTAGGCGCATTGTTCTCTCCCAGTTGATGCAAAGTAAAGCCACAGGCAAATCGTTCGTCGGCAAAGTAGGTATTTCGTTTGGCTGAATTCGATCACAGAGGTCTTCCCTACTGTGCGTCCATATATACTGCGGGCACTTGACATAGAGGTGGTAGAAGATATCCTCAAGTCTTGCAGTCCTCTCTTCGTCATCGGTAAGATTGCTGTTGAGGGTGTATCTTGTGGGTTTGTGTCGTCTGGTTTCCGCCTTTAGAAGCCCTAACGCGGATAATAATAACTTGCTTGATGCATCCATGTTTCCTTGAAGCACTTCTAAGATGACAAACATGAGCGTAGATGTGATCAAGGGTCGAATCGAATCGTTGGAATTAATAGTAAGCGCACGCTGGCGACACAAGTAAATCGCTTTAGTGTAATGTTTCAACGCCTCGTGATGATGGTGACGATCAATTTTAAGTCGTGATATATGCTCTCCAGAAGTTAGTTCACGCGCGGTCATTATCTTCTTCTTACCAGTCAGCTGTTCATACGAGAGCTGGGTTGCCTTGGACATTGCCGTGAGGCCGAGAATGGCGGCTCGGACACTTTCTTCTCGCATGAACTCTTGTATCAAATACGCATCAAACCCCAGGCCGCGGCACCACACCTTTATATCACGTAGGATATAATGCCGAAACATGTCGAAGTACCCGACATCCGATGAATTGAGATGGATGGGTGAGAGGCTGCGAGTCAGCTGCGGCGTCGGTAGCACTCTGTCAGTCTGTACAATTCTCCTTTGTACGTTTTTGGGCCGTAAGGTTACGAGCGACCGTGGAGAAGGGTGGATGGTTTGCTGTGTCTTCACTTTTGGCGGCCCATAGCCTAGGCACTGGATGCCTGATTTGACACACCGCTCACATTCCGGCTTCCCTTCGTCGCATTTCAGTTTACGGCGTTTGCATGTACCACAGCCTACGGAATAAATCAGCTCCGGCCAACCACAGAGCGAAGTAATGTGATGTCGACGAACCGCTTCGGACCTTTGAATGCATTGTGCGACGAGGCCTCTCCTTTGACGTCGCCAGATGGCGGATGCCCCAAAAAGCGCCTGCTCGTTCCATATAGGCTTACTCTTGACGCAAGTACTCCGGTTGTAAATCGAGCTTTGGCGGATACCACGGCATGTGATGGCAGAATAGCGAAGAGATTTAGTACTACCTAGGAGCTATCAAAGTGACGTGGCTACATAAAAACCCCGGAATCTCGGGACCTTCAAGATCCCGCTGTATGGAGCTGAGTCAGCTCATATGAGGGTACTAACCTCACTAACGCCCTCCCCTACTGCTACCCACCTAGCTGAAACTCTTCCAGAAGGTATGCCAAGTACGTACTACCCATAACATCGTCTTTAATGGTTTAACATTATGTTAATCTCATGCACCTAAATAATGCAAAGGAAGCTTTATGGGCGGTAATTACATATAATGATACCGTTATGTTATATGGTACTCTAAATTGCAGGAGAGACAGCACTAGGTCATGTTGCCTCTAGATGTTCATTGCCGAAAACACATCTGCATAGGTATACTGGCTTGTTGAATACGTTGTCTAACAAAATTTAAATTGCCCACCTCACATCTTTTGTATTCGTATAACTGGATGCTTCTGTGAAATCTTGTCTCTTATTGTTAAAACTCTGTTAGTATCGTAAATTCTTCTCTCCTGGCTCTCGCCTCGTAAACCAATGCACCAATTGTGTTTAGTGTCCGGTAGATCATGACCTCCCTGCTTCACGTCAGACTCTATAATGCAGGGATCTGCAAAGTTCTTCGCGGTTGTCGTATACGTGCAACGAATCAGAACAACGCTTTCTGCCACTTTGGCACAAGCACGAGCGAATCTGACTCTTTTTCTACAGCATTGGCGTATAGAAGAGAAGCCCGCAACCGGAGCGAAGGCCCACGACTTACGTCTAATGGGCGGTCAAAATAGGGAACGGCATTCCGATTTGCCTATGGAAACAATGAAGCTGCCGGGAGCCAAATCAAGCTATGTACTTTGTCCTTGTGGGACTTACGCCACTCAGCTGGCTACATTTTGCAGAAGGGTAGTCCGGCTAGTTGAGTTGTTCCATGGGCTCGGATAAAATACGCCAATCAAGCGAAATGTTTCTGCCGCAACTAGCGATTCGATCTCTTACCGCCATACTAGTTACACCACCCATATCGCTATTACTCACGCATTTGTGATCCGGTATACTTCTTTCCTTGGACATTATTCGGTTTCAGAACAGCATTGCGTCATTCGGGAACTTATGGATTGCTATGTCCGAGTGAGCTTGTATAATCATACTGGTTGATGAAACTTGGCACACTTAGTAGCTCGGTGCTTTAGGTCGACTGGGATTAGATCGGACTCATTGTTCGGGGTCACTCAATATTCATAGGCATAGTTATGACATCAGTGGATCATGAGGATGGTTGTAATGTAGAAAATATCGGTGAAACGGGCTTGCGACCGGGCCGATCAAGATGATACTAAGGAGGGAATATCTTATAAAAGGCAGTCTGACGCTCCACAGAACAATCGATGAATACACATCCAGTCTCTCACTACAACAGCAAGAGCTCTAGTGAAAACATCATTTCTTTTGAGTGTGTTATATTACCTCAACATTTCATCTACAGTTTGGACATTGTCATGGCTACCAAAAATACTCAGCAAATGAAAGCCATTATTCAACCCGACAAGACTTCTCATGCGCTGATCCTTACCCAGAAGCCAATTCCGATACCTGCTCATCCTCAAGATGTTCTCGTCAGAGTCCATGCAACCACACCCTGCAAAGGCGAGCTGGACTGGGCACTATATGCCCCTGAATACATACTACCTAGCAAGATTCCCATCCCGGGGCAGGATCTTGCTGGGAGTGTACTTTCAGTTCCAGAGGGCAGCAAATTTAAAATCGGAGACTCCGTATATGCACGAATTGAGGCCAATCGTCCCGGCGCTGGTGCAGAGTATGCACTCCCACGGGAAAGCGAACTCGCCCTCAAGCCTAAGAACCTCAGTTGGATTGAGACTGCAGCCACTCCACTAAGTTCATTGACGGCATACCAGGCTCTCTTTACACAAGGAAATATTTGTGTGGCCGCCCTGACAGGAGACCAGATCGCAAAAAACACCAATGCTAATCTTCGTGTCCTCATTACCTCTGCGTCCAGCAGTGTAGGTAGCTGGGCCATCCAGCTCGCTCGAGAGGCAGGCGTCGGAGGCATCATCGGTGTTACCTCTACTAAGAATATCGGCTTTGTTCGTAGCCTAGGCGCTACTGAGATAATCGATTACACGGATCAAGATATTTCGGACTGGGTAGCTTATGATCAATCAAGAGAGGTAGATTTGATCATCGACACGATTGGAGGCCCGTCACTCGCGTATTCATGGCACGCTATAAGAGAGGGAGGTAATATTATTAGTGTTTGCAGTTTCCCAGAGCAGAGTCGCCCCGACGGAGTTACTAAGAAAGCCAACAGCTCATTCTACCTGGTTAATCCTAAGGGCACTGATCTCGATTCGATCACACACCTGATTGAAGCGGACAGAGTCAAACCCATTGTTGACAGTGTGGTTGAATTTGACGATTTTGCAAAGGCTTGGGAGAAGGTTGAGGCAGGCCACACAAGAGGCAAAGTGGTGGTCAAGATCTCTGGAGAAATGTAAGCGGATGGATAGTAGGAGTCTGTTCCTAGCTAGGCACCTGTGTGTTTGTAAAAGGGCACGCACACAGCGCTTGCCTGACATTGCTTCAAACGATGGTTAGTTAGTTTATAACTAGCATAAAACTGAACTCTATATAAGTTACTTTTTTCATGAGAGCATATTCTTCAGGGCCCATTATGTTTACTTCAAACGAATCTTCAATTAAGCTTTTTAAATCTTAGCATCAGCTGCCGAAAGGCTTTGGCAGCATTGACTGATACGCGTAGTTTCAATATCTCATGTCTGACCTCGTTGCTCGAACTCTGTGAGCAAGTCAGTTTCTACGAATCTAGAGCCACTGATGTTTATACCGGCTGCATTACATTTTGCCGTATTTACACATACGTTTTATTGTCCAAAATGTTTTAAATGTGTAGCTATAGGGTAACGCTCTGCCATGTAGTGTTATTAAAAGCAACCATAACCGTCACCGAAACCTGAGTACCAAGAAAAGAGGGCGCTCGCACTAATAGCTCGGAAGAAAGCGTCTTATCTCCCCGACGTCCGCAAATGGAAGTAAAATTCGGAGCCAAGTGTCAACCATTGTGTAAGAACAGTAAAAAGAATTAGCAGCCGGCGAAATTAGCAGCAGTGCAAAAAGGTAGTGGCAGTGGTAAAATAGCAATTATATGTGTTATGCATCTTAAGCTACTTAATTAATTAATTGACTCTTCCAATTCCAACTCCAACCAATCTAGATTCAAGCTAGTATTGCGAAACCAGTCTTCGCCGGTTAGAGGATTCCTGAGTATAGAACTGACATGGTCGTCATTGATGTAAAATGCGCTTGAGACTGGTGGCTCTCCAGAAGCATCTAATCGCTCAACAGGCTGGTCATCAAAGGCATCAATCCCACCAACTGAAGATGTAGAAACTCTCTGGTAAAGCGATTGGAGGACCGCAATCCCTTGTGCAGCCGATTGTGTTAAGCCCTTGAGGTGATTCAAGATATTTGTGCATCGTTCCCAAGAAGTGTCAAATGTTGCTGCTGGGCTATCGACAGAGATCCTAGAACCTAGTCTCGCCGCAAAAAGAGTAGTTGCAGCTATGAGAGTAACTAGCGCAGGGGTCTTCATTAGTACTAGACAAGGCGAAAGAAAGAAGAAGGGGCCCTCACAATATACAACGTACCACGGCGCAGGCTGTGCGAGGCTGGTTATGTTTGCATGAAGATGCGAAATGATGTCGTGTGACGTGGCGATGCAACGATTTGAACCATATAGATAAAACTGTTGATCAAAACCTGAGATGCCGGTTGATGTGGGATTTGTTCGTTCCACGGCACACTTCTGAACATACGCGAGAAACACTGGGCGCAATAATAACAGTCTAGTGTGCAAAAATCTTGACCATCGTAAGCTTAATATCCATGACATTTACGCTTCGAGTTCATGGCTTAAATGTTACATACCTCGCGCGTAAGACGTTTACCTGGAGAGCGTTGCAGCCTAGCTGTGTCGCATCAGGCGTGGTTTCACACCCCGATGGTGTTAGCCAGGACGGCAATGCAGCTTCAAACTCGTTCAGGCGCCTATCCAGTTCCACCATGCTAGTAAAATCCAGGTCTGGTAGCTGGCGTTCAGAAGGTTTGTTCGTCGATTCCATGCCATCCGGTATATTATAGAACGCCGAAAGTATATCATCCATGATACAAAACAACTTGAGCGTGTAAATGAAGCATCCAATCCTGGGTGTAACCGTTGCTGGCTGGAGACCACTACTAGAACCGTGGTGATTCGCTTCTGTCAGATATTCATCGTCTATGAGCTCTGGAAGTTGTACAGTCCATTTATGTGATGTCATGGTAGGACGGCCAAATGTCATAGCCAACACTCTGTCTCAGTGGGGGAGTAATTAGTAACTGTATATATTAATCATGAATGGTTTCTCACCTATCGAGGGTAACACAAATGTGCCATATTCGCCTCTTCATTTCGGTTTCCAGCCTGCTTGGTGGACAAGGGGAGGATTCATCGTCCATGTGTAGTCCCAGGCCCTGAGCTGCTCTTATAGCGAGTCCAACAGTATTCCAACATCTATGAGCGTGGCTGATCGATTGAAGATAGAGACTGGTGAGCAAGAGAAACTGCACCGAAGGCAAAGAATCCGCTTCGAGGATATTAAATGATAGGGCTCCCTGCGCTCTCCGAAAGAATTTGCTGGCGCGAGAGCTTCTATCTTGCGGTGGTATGGTTGTAGAAAATGGACAGCCCATGGCAAAAACGAGATTCAACATGGCGTGGAAAATTGAATCTTGTATGTCACTCCTTATCGCTGAATCTACTGGGTTATACGACGAAGTCCATAGCTGCTCATAGGAAGCCATGAAAGTTGGTTGATGAAGGAGGGGATAAAGAGGGTGGACCAGCTGAAAAAAAGTTTGCACAAGGCTGTCAGCAACCCGCCGTTGTGGTAAATCGAAGTCAGCTGCGTCGATATGTCGAGGTTCTTCTAAGTCGTATCCATGAGGTGGCTGACTTAAATGAGCTGGCTCTGGGAGGAGTTCTCCACAGCTCGCAGAGGTTTGCGCGCTTTTTACAACCCAATTCAGGAAGGCAACAGACGATGAATTGCCATAGTATCCATCTCTAGAATTAGCTGAGAATGGAATAGCAACCATGGCATCCATATTTTGAGAGGCGCGACGCTCTGAAGCAGTAGACCACTGTCGCTTGGGCTTAGCTGTCTTGCGTGTTGAAGTCAAATCTGAGATTACGGATCCAGAACCGGCAGATGTTCTGGAAACACTGTTGACTGGGCTGTCGTTAGGCTGGAGCTTGCATTGGTTGGGCTCATTTGGCGTCCTTTGCCCTTTCTGTGCGCTCGAGACGGAATATTAATGAGTTGTCTTACCGCAACAAGCAAGCGAGGGTGTGAGATGGGAAGTCAATGGTGTTGTGTATGGTTGCGTTTACATACTGAAGCCTCCTTGTGTGCTAATTCGACATCTCTGACCGACATGTTCGCCTTGGAAGACTGCTCCTCCAGAGCAGTAATCCGACGCTCCAACTTGGATGCATAGCTAATCATTAAACTGCATTAGTAATAACTCGAAGAATCTCTGGGATGGAGACGATACCAATAGATCACTTACCGACTGGGCTTTAATGTATCCTCTTGGAAGTCGCACGAGGCTTTCTTCCTTCTTTTGCAGGGCCCGCATATCGGTCGGACGCCGTCACACCGTGTCTTACGATCACGACATGAATCGCAAGCGAGAGTTACCCTTTTACGCCTTGGCTTGGGCTTTTCAGTCGCAATATGGGGATTGGAGATCCTAGGCGAGGATAATGGATCATCCCGGGCTCCGATTGTAGGGCCGTCCAAAGTGAGTGTTGAATAGTATTCATAATCATCTTGCGACATGTTGGACGAAAGACACTATTAGCGAATCTTGTGATGTTCTCTGGAATGCCGGACAAGTCTTTTCGATTCGTGGCCACCTGGGACCGCCAATGAAATAGAAAGCTCTGTAGTTCAAAAAGAGATGGAGGGTGAAGTGAGAATTTGGAGAGGAGATGTTTTGTTGCGGAGTAATAATGTTTGCGTTTAGAAGCTGGCCTAGCGACGGTTCCGAGCTAACCCCAGACTTTCCGAACACATGAGTACATGTAATGACAAGACGGCTGGACCCCACACGCTTCACCCCGATTGAGCTCCACGGGGGAGGCCAAATCTTTGTGCACAGAGAAAAGCTATTATCCAGGAATGTTAGATGGACTGATCTACGAAGTACTATACATCAACATTATTACAAATATGGGTTATATTGCTACTTTCTAACCTTTCGATTCTCTATTATGTTACGACCTGGTTTACCGTAACAGGGCATTCCCTTATAAACAGCTGGTTCCGTCACAGTAATTGCTACAATTGCGATTATTGGCCTAATCTTTTGCCCTGTTTGGCGCTACGGTATGACGGATCGTAACATATTACTAAAATGAATTCGGCTCCAGTAGATAAAGAGGTAGGGTTTATTCTGAAGACGCAAGTATTTTTGGATACCTACCTGCAAAAAAGATGTCTGTGATTCGCTTCTCGAACTCGTGGTTCTTAGTGGTCAAATATTTACTTCATCCGCTTTGGCAAATTCTTGAAAATGTCAATGGAATCACGTAATAAGGGCTTTATCCGGCTAATTCATATTACTAGCCTGTCACTCTAGTCATCCACATAAGTCCTCTGCATTGCCGGTGCTCGACGTTCTGACTCCGATAAACATATCTGAAGTGATCTTTTGCTTAAAATTCCGAGCAACAATACTTGTTTCTCTGACTCATTGGCTACCTGTCTAGCTTTGGATTGATACTCGATTTGTTTTCCGCCGCACAATGTACCTGATTGGAGTAGTTGTCCCGTGGTTAAGCTAGCTTTGTTCCATCGTTGGTCTCTTCTTTATATTACAAAACAGGTCTGTTTGCTTGACAAACCAGTATGTATTCAGAGTCCAGTCTGTCATGGGGCTTGATAGCTCAATGTCGAAGCGCCGGAGTAGTTGTGGAACAAGTTTGGACATTTCAAGCAGAGAAATATTCTTCCCAAGACAAGAGCGCCCTCCTGATCCGAACTGAGAGCCAAAGGGGTCAGTATCAAGTTGCAATGCGGTTTGCTATTGGAAGAGAGACTCACTGCCAAGAAATTTCTTTGCATGTATTTGGCAGCTTCAGGTGTCGCATCTAACCATCGCTCAGGCCGAAAGTCATCAACATCCTCTCCGTATACTGTTCTTTCTCGGCTAACCACCCACGGGTTTATTCCGACGATTGTGCCAGATGGGAGCCAGTGTTGTCCGAACTGCGCTCCCTGTTCAGGGACAACTCGTTCTAGCATCTGGCCAACCGCCGGGTGAAGTCGCATAGCCTCCTTCATACATGCCTGGAGGTATGGCATGCGAGATGCTTCACCAAATGTAATTGGACTAGAAAGACTGCCTTCCTTATCCATATTGTCGATCTCCTCACGCAACTTTTCATAGCACCGCTTGTTCTTGCACAAATAGTAGAACATTGAGCGCAGTGAAATCGCGGTAGTATCACTTCCTGCAAACCTGTACATATGTAAGTGACTGAGAAGAGATGTTCAGAGGGGAGCACCTACACATTTGACGCTGCATGATTCAGCAGGTCTCCGTTTGTAATGACTTCTTCGCTATCACGGACACGCCTGAAGCGATCAAGCAAGTCATGGTTCTGATCGTTGGATGGTAGAGATTTGCCCATGCTGCGCTTTTCAAGCTGAGATGCTGCGAATTTGACTATAGAACGCACCGTGTTCAACTTAGCTAGTAATGGAACTGCTTGGGCACATGCGGCGATAAAATTGTTTCCGAGAAGAAACTTGTGAAGAAACGGGACTTGGCCTATTATTGAGTTGTAAACAAGTCGGCCTTCAATGGCATTGATTATGCCGTCAACATCTGTTTCTGTTTCCATGAAACCTTGTCGTGTCGAAAAGGTCAGTGAAGTGATGACATCGAACGCATACCAATGAAGCCATGTACCAAAGTCCACACTTTGGCCTTTTTTTCTGTTGAGTTTACTAATAAGTATCTCGATGCAAATGTCCGTCAATGGCTCTAGCTCTACCAGAGAAGTCATCGAGAATGCGCTGGCAACCGGCCTCTTTAAAGACTTGTGCGCTTTTTCATCTCGGATTGAGAACAGGGTGGGAAATCTGACTCCATGAGGAGTAACCGCATCGAAAACGGAGTAAAATTCGCTCTTTGGATCACACTGTTAATCACTGTCATTCATCCTCAATGTACGTCACACTGTTGTAGATTTACCTTGGGATAAGCATTTCCTATGCCGTAAATCTGTGTTATAAATTCTCCCCGAGAGATAGACACATGATTGGGTCCCACTCTTACAAACGGTCCATAAGTATTATGATACTGCAAGTGTTTGTGCTGCTGCTTTCCCGAGGCAGTGGTGATGACACGGTCGAACGAAAGAATAGACGCCCAGAATGGGCCAGGAATATCTTGCAGGCCTTTACGATACCGAATGCGGAAAAAATAGGCGGCAGCTCCGATCAAAGCTAGAAATAAGCCGTACCGTGTTATTGCTTGTAGCATAGCTTCAAGCGCCCGTGAGATTGTTTGTCGCACCCACGGCAGACTCGGTATGAAGTCGCTCATCTCGATCTTTTGAATCATGAGAGCTGAGACTTATAAGCGGAAGAATGTGCAACAAGAGAGTACCCCCTTGCTTAAGGTCGAAGCATTGCTCCTAATGGCGTGTTCGTGTTGGTAATAAATCAGCTACATATATTCGATCTCGAAACAATACTGCAAAGAAATCGTAACATAACATCCCAAGCGTTCCGGGGGTAACACGGGGTCGGCAACGGTTCGAAACGGTAGGTCATTTTCCCAGACTAGCTAAACCTCCATCATAATCAGATACCCCACATTCTGCATTTGCGAGATCAACGCGGGGTTTGAAAATCTGGGGTCGCGGATCGGTTCTGGCACTACCCGAGGCTGTTATCTCCCCGTAGCTGAATATGAAATGGTTCCCGAAATGAATTTGTCACAGTCTTTCATAAAGTGGGAAGTTATCTTCAATGTACACACCTACCAAGCAGATTGATGTGGATGAGCTTAGCCTAGTATAATATTAATGTATGGTAATACATCGAAGATAGAATTCGGGATGATGAAGTTCAAGTGCGGGCAGGCTCGGAAAGCAGTCGGATTAACAAAGTCAACATCATGCCGGCCTACCTAGATGGCCCAATGTCTTATTTCCATTAGCTCATCCTGTATTTATATAATATGAGAAGCCAATATCATCAGAAACACAAAGAGTACTCAATTGCAAGACGAAATTTACGGCCAGTTATCAATTACTTGACGTTCAAGGCGCATATACTGCTCATACTTTATAACATGGCCGAGTTTGCAAACATTGAGACAAGGCTCTTCATTAATGGAGAGTTTACACCCTCCATTCGAGGCAAGGTCTTCAAGTTGATCAATCCGGCCACGGACAAGTTGACTGCAGAGATTTATGAAGGTGGGGCGGAAGACGTGGACTTGGCTGTTCAGAGCGCTAAAAATGCGTTTCCTGCATGGGCTCAGGCTGAAGGTATCCCGCTCTCCTTATCATAATTTTGGGATGTGACAGCTAATAGAATCATTTGCTAGCTTCCCACCTTCAGTGTATACTACAAAAACTTGCGGATTTGGTAGAACAACATGCTGCTTATTTTGCTTATCTCGATGCAATATCTATGGGGAAGCCCTTGTCGACATACATAGATCATACCTTAGCAGTGGCAACAATACGGTGTAAGTCCTTACTTGCTACGTATTGTAGATGGAGATGGTCTGTTCTCTAATTTGTTTCTATGACAAGACTTTGCCGGGAAAGCGTACGATGTCCACGGCATCACATCTCTTGGCTCAAAAGACCACCTCAACATTTCCTTACGACAGCCTTACGGAGTTACAGGCGCCATTATCCCTTGGAAGTGAGAGATTCCCCTAAGCGCAGTGGATAGTGAATATTTATGAGAGTGATTAATTGAAACTGATACGTTTGATCTAGTGTCCCTCTAGTCATGCTTGCCTTCAAAGTTGCGCCGGCTCTAATGACTGGCAATACAATGGTTTTGAAATCGTCTGAAAGGGCCCCTCTCAGTCCCCTGTTATTTGCGCGCCTTGCAAAAGAGGCAGGGCTACCACCTGGTGTCCTGAATGTGCTTTCAGGATTTGGAAATCCATGTGGAGACGCCATTGCTCGTCATATGGAAATTCGGAAAATCTCTTTCACTGGCAGTCACGCTACTGGCAAAATTGTCCAACGAGCTGCAGCCGAATCAAATCTGAAGGTATGCACGCTGGAACTCGGGTAAGCCACATTTGGATATTGAATTTGCGCGAGTCTGGAGGACCGATACTGACTCACTCCTTCAGAGGGAAGAGTCCTCTGATTGTATTTGAGGATGCAGATCTGGAAAAGGCAGCAGCAGCGGCCGCGTTTAGCATTACGTTCAACTCTGGTCAGATTTGTATGGCATGCACGAGAGTCTACGTGCATACAAGTGTGGCTAATCGCTTCATTGAACTTTACAAAGCCAACATTTTGAAGATTATGGGAAAGATTGGGGATCCCCTTGAGACTACTACCACTTTTGGACCCCAGGCGGACAGACAACAATACGATAACATTTCGAAGGTACTTCAAAAAGCAGCAGATGATGGCCTTGAATTTATTCTAGGGGGACGTCCCCTGGAAGGAAAAGGTTGCTTCATTCCGCCGGCTGTTGTATTACATCCGCCAGAGCAAGGCGATATTATGACAAAAGAGATATTTGGGTAAGATTGTTCTTTTATATTGCTAAAAGAAATGTAACTGACAGCATATACTTCAGTGCAATCTCTTGCGTGAGCACTTTTACAAATGAGGAAGATGTATTAGACAGAGCAAATGACACGGAGTACGGGCTATATGCAAGTGTTTTTACGCGTGACTTGAACAGAGCGATTAGGATCGCAAAGGGATTTGAGGCGGGTGCAGTTGGCGTCAACACTGCTTCACCTTACTATAGTCAAGACTTGCCACTTGGAGGTTATAAAAGCTCCGGAAGTGGAAGAGAACTTGGTCAAGAAGGCCTTGAGTCCTGGACTGAAGTCAAGTCTGTGTATATTGATCTGACATGAATGCGTTTGTATTACCTTATTTGATCTAATTTTTTTTTATAATTTTTCTTTTGACTACCCTGGTTAATAACAAATGAATCTAAGCTTGCAAGCAGCAATACACTGCCTCCTACGGTGCTACGGAACGTTTGTGGCCGCATAAGCAAAACGCATATGCTTTCTTACGGAGTACCGCAAACATTTTCCTTCTTGTTGTAATGTTGAATGGTCATACTGGCATGATATTGAAGTAAATAAGAATATTTTATTCACACAAAATGTTCTGACCAATGGGGCTAAATTGGACGGAAGCTCAATGAAAGCTTGTCCATAATATTGTTATTGTAGACACATCTATTTCCTTTCTACAAGATGTACCAATAATTTTGCACCGACTGGCGCGGCATTGAACGTGTCATACTGAACCATATCTTCCATCTTCATTGAAGAATCAAGACTAACATTGAGCCTCCGGAAAAATGATGCGGTTAGTATGCGAAGTTCCATTTCGGCGAGACTTACAAGTAGCGGGTCAGTGCATGCTCTTCAGAATATATTCGGTGAGAACTTACTTTAGTCCAATGCATTTTCGAGGCCCCAAGGAAAAGGGGGTGAATGCCTCCCTTAGTGGTGTAAGATCATCTACCAACCATCTTTCGGGAATAAATTTGTCTGCTTGAGGAAAGACATCTTCACAACGGTGGGTGGTATAATTCTGGGTACCAACAATTGTCTATAACACCGATTAGCTGATAGATAACATGACTCTGATTTGGCGACATTCGTACTCCTTTGGGTATAGGAATATTGGCAACAGTCGTGTTCTCTATTGCTGTACGAGGCAATATAGCAATTGTTGATGGATAGAGCCTCATTGTTTCATATATAACAGCATTGAGGTACGGCAGCTTATTACAAGTCTGTCGCTGAGCATTAGCACCACAACCAAGACATTTTTTGCAGTAAGATGATCCATACGAGGTAGTCAGAAATAGTTGACGTATCTGGAAAACATTTATCCAATTCCTCTTGTAGCCGTTGAATAACATCTGGCTGCTGAGCCGTAGCCCAAACAAGATAAACAAAGGTGTTGGCAGTTGTGCCGCTACCTCCAAACCTATAGGCCTTTAAGTCAGTCAAGGAGGCATTATATCAAGATGAAACAACACGAACATTCCACTCATGCATTCCTCTGCAAGGATGGAGTCTGTGAGTAAAGGACGTGACTTCTCATCTCCAGTCTCCAGAACACGGCTTAGAAATGCTGTTTTAGTCCCATTAGCCCTACATGAGTTCACAATGCCTATCGCCATCTGGGTGTAACTGGTTAGCAGCTAATCGAGGAAACGCAAGTTAGGATTCCATGCCTTTTTCCACGCATGGACTTTACGAAAGTAGGACCCTATGTATCCTGGAACGTAAATACCCCAATTCTCAAGCAGTGGAACAAACTCTTTCTAGTAAAGTCGTTAGCCAGTATCATGCAAATGGAATACAAGAAACTAACGTAAATATAGATAAGCTTCCATGCGCGCATGTATTGCATTACCTCGCTTTCCACCCCTGTCTTGACGGTTCCTGGGTCAACATCAAACATGAGGTGATCTACGTATGTGATGGTTAGCATGCAACAAATGTAACTAAATCATGGTTGATCTCGATACAACATACAGACAGTGTCAAATCCAAGCATGTGTGTCCAGCGGAAGATGTCAACTGCTGAATCACTGGTGGACGCAATTTTGGCCCATTGGTCGAGGACAGTATATATCTTTGACGCTACTTTTGGCTCAAAATCTCGCATTGCTGTTTGAGAAAATCCACGAGAGAGCAGTTTCCGTCGCTGGGAGTGGGCCTCCGGATCACTAGTTGAGAATCCAGAGTCAATTCATCATCATTTATACGGGCTCGGCGTGAAATAATACGTGAAACTCAATAGATGCTCTTCGTGGTAGATTCTTTTTGCTCGCTTGCGACTGGTTAGGCTAGCTTCTGGAATGACGTTCTATACCGTTCGAAAAGAGCTCACATAAAATCCTCCTTCTTTGACGAATGCTTTTGACGTATAAATATCGCGTAATGCTGAAGGGTCGCTAAAGGACAGCATGTTGGGCCCAATACGAACGACCGGGCCTATGAAGGGTTAGCAAACACTTTAAAATCTCCAGCACCTGTAAAAATGACAGTCTAATACCGTAATGAATGTGGGCTTCATGGATCTTATGCGCCTTGCGCCCATAAAAGTTTTGCACTCGTGCCCAAGCACCAGAAACCTTTGCCAATAAGGGTCCCGGAAATCGTCGCAGAGGGTGAAAAAATAGGTTGTATATAACGCAAAAGAGAGTATAACTGCAGATTGAGATGGCAATCATAGATCCAAGAGCCACGGTTTGTGTTGCGACTGGAAGGGACTGAAATGAAACGACCGCCATTTTTATCGAAGATGACATTTTCCTATTATAAATCGAGCTGCACAGCTGCGTCACGTTACAGCAAATCACTTCGAGCGATGAAGATGTGAGCATTGATGTATTGAACAGAATTAATTGACCTTATCTGTCTAGTCATACACTTCGATACCAAAGTTCGACTCGGCGGCATGGGGCAATCTGATGCCACTATGTCGGGATGGAACCGATCTTCAGGCAAGGCAGTTAGCCTTCATAGGGCCAAATGCACCGCACTGCCGGAGCTCACCTACAGATGTGGGCCTGTCGGCAAGTTGGTTCACATCTCCCCGAGATATATGAATTCCGATATTCTTGTAGCATGGTTCAGCACTCGTAAAGCAACAGGGTTACAACATACATGCGAAGGAAATACCGCAGCCGAGATCTTTGGATCCCTCTCGAGGAAAAGCGTAATACTCCGCGAACTAAGATTTCCATTACGGGATGTCCTTCAAGCATGCACTTTTTCCCCATCTGATGTTCCGTGAAGCTAGGCAAAGACCAATGGCCGCTGTGTTCTTCTTTCGGCCTGGATCCCGGGTCCCGGAAAATGGGTGATAACATGGTCATATCTACTATTCTTGCTGTCCGCACATGTTGATCAGGTCGAAAGCACATTTTGTTTGTACATTTATGTAGATTTGCGACACACTTAAATATCTCTGTGTTTTAAAACATTTTATGACCTACTTGTCTTTGCACAATTCTTGCGGTAATTCAAGACACTTCAATCTCTACGCGCTTGCGACAAAAAAAGCTGGTTGGTCCAGAAAAGCGATATACGACTCGTGAACAAGATGACTACAACTCAAGTCAACCAAAGCAACGCTTATAATGATGAATCGGCTCTGAATGATTATTTCCAGAGTCTGTCCAAGATGAATGCAACACCTTTGTGGACGGCCATGGACAAGATAGTGCCGCCATATCCGAAGCCAAGAGCGGCCCCTACAGCCTGGGCGTATTCAGTGATGCGGCCAGCTTTAATGCATGCAGCCTCGATAGTTGGAGCTGAGGAGGCTGAACGACGTGTTCTGATGTTAGTAAACGAGGCTATTGCTGCGCCCTACACAACAGACACCATTTATGCTGGGCTGCAGATCGTTCTGCCGGGAGAGACTGCTCCGGCACACCGCCATCGCGCTTTCGCCCTGCGATTCATCATCGAAGGAACCGGTGGCTTCACCGCTATAGAAGGGGAGAGAATCGATATGCGCAGAGGAGATGTCGTCTTAACACCCAGTTGGCAGTGGCACGACCATGGGAATGAAGGAAGCGATCCCGTCATATGGCTTGATGGCCTTGACTTGCCATTGTGGCAGCATATTCCCATCAATTTTGTCGATCAATATACTGAGCCACGTTATCCAAGTGAGCCAGCTCCGGACAGTGCTGCAAGGATACAATGGAAAATTGTTGCTCAGGCGCTTGACGAACAAAGGATTCCACACGCCATATATCAGTATCATCTTCCTGACGGATCACACCTTTCTAAAACAATCTCCGCGCAGGCTGAGCGAGTCGAGGCAGGCCATACAACTACAACATCCTGCAAAGTGCTATCTTATATCTACCATGTATATAGTGGACAAGGTTTCTCTATGATTAAAACACCCAATGAGGCGACGGCGAAGAGGCTTGATTGGACTGAGAAGGATACGTTTGCTGTTCCTGCTTGGAGTGAAGTCTCTCACACCTGTACTATGGATTCTGGGGCTGTTTATCTTTTTGCACTTAATGATAGGCCAATGATTGAATCGTTGACCTTTTTGAATAAGCCATAAGTTACTTGAGCTAGCTAAGTCGGAAATATCAACATGCACCCGCCTGTGTCAGAGAAGCATCTCATGTTATGTCCCTTATAATTAACATATGACATATCAGCCAAATTTATCTTAATTTCTCGTACAAGGTATGCTTCAGCCAACTCGGTTGACAGTCCGTAAATAATGCCGCTTGAGGTTGCCAATGTTCAAGCCTGTTGCAAATTAGCACTTCCTTTCATCCTGCCTCACGACATTGCAACTTACCCTCCATTGACCAACGAAGTTCGTACCATTATCTTCGAACCTTGATGATGCATTGGTATAGTCCACAGGGTACAACCACATTGGCGACAGAAGACTATGCTTTTCGAAGCCACTTTGTGTTCGGCTAATGATCCAAACGGCCTGAGCATTCTGGGGATCTTTGACAGTAATCTTGCTCACGTCGTATTTGGCGACCTATAACAATAAGCATTCACTCTGATTTAACGGGGCCCTGACATGACATACAAGTTGATATGGTCCGCCAGAATTCTTTGCGCAGTCGAGACAGTAACAACTGAATACTCTTTCAGGCTCACCTTCAATGTCAAACGTTATTGAGTCGCAGAGACATGAGCCGTGATAGATTACGGGGACCATTGTAGCTTTCACCGTTGCCGATACACTTGTGCCAGAAGCATATTCTGAGGCGCATTGCGTTCCAATGAGCGATGTAGATTACTTATATATATTCGCATCTCTTCAGGCTTATCCCGCCAATGGTGGAGTTCTTTCCATCCCTCTTCATTGCCAGAAAACCCCAATTTCGGGATGACTACCGAATATACGGCCCGTGTCCATATAAATAATTTCATTGCGATTGTAAGCTAAGTGCAGTCCTAACTACGCCCGATACAAAACTCCCAGCTGCTTATGCCCAAACCATTTTATTCCGCACGCTACCAAGATGCTCAATTGACACTTTGACAACATCACCATTTTTCAGATAACGAGGTTCTGGCTTCATCCCCATGCCTACTCCAGCAGGAGTGCCTGTCATAATGACTGTGCCCTGTTCCAAGGTCGTGCCTTGGCTCACGAAACTGATTATATCTTTGACGCCAAAGAGGAGGTCACTAGTTGAACTATCCTGTCTTAGCTCCTCATTTACCCATGTTTGAAGGCGCAGATTGCTTGCATCACCAACAAGCTTCGGCGAGACAATCATGGGCCCCAAAGGCGCATATTTATCGAAGCCTTTGCTGAAGCACCACTGAGGGACGCCACCAGCATATTCAGGATCGCGCTGCCAAGTCCTTGCTGACACGTCGTTAGATACCACGTATCCCGCTACATATTCCAGAGCATCTTCCTTGTCGATATCTTTGCCCGTTTTAGCCATCACAATTGAGAGCTCTCCTTCGTAGTCGCATTGGTCATCCTGCGCTAATTTCGGTATAGGTATTTCTTCGGTGCTTGAGGCAACACAGTTGGAGGGCTTGATAAAAATTGACGGATATGGAGGTGGTTTCCGACCCCCTTCTTTGACTTTTTTGAAGACGTCAGTAGTGAATGGCTAAGATGTATCTTACATGCTCACTTACTATGTGTGATGTAGTTCAGTCCCACACATTTTATAATGGGTACATCCTCGGGCCTTAATACTGGTAGAACTCGTCTTACTTGTCGCAAAGCTCCGGCTTTCGATGCCAGATTGAAAGGCGAGCTACCGTCTAAGACACGTGCAAAAAGCTCTCCATTCTCTAAAAGCCTTGACAGGTCGTCTGCGCTCTCAATCTGTGGGTCTCCATACAATTTGTTGCCGTCGATGTCTTCAAACCGAATTAACCTTAGAAATAACATGTTGTATAATTCGGTATGTAATTTATTTGCGGTTTGTCACGACCTGGCTCTTATGGTCGCGACAATGGGCCTACAGGGTAGTCGGTTCCGGATAAACGACGGACCGACCGACCAATCAGGAGCGGATCATTAGATTATCGTAATAATCCAACGATCCATAAACAAATCATCAGAACTATAAGATAATCTACAACAGGATCATCAACCTCTGTAAATAATCCAGCCCAGCTAACTAAATATATAAGTTCACTTTATATCACTTATTAAAATACTTAAATAGCCAGTTGTTATTATAGCGTTTATAATATAATTAAATTAAAACTTAGACATTTACTTTTATTTATATTACTAACTAGTAATAAAATTACCTATTTACCGACTTAATCGCTCCGCTAACATAAACCGTAGAACTATTCTAAGGTTTATCTCTTAGGAATAGCTAACCTATATTAACCTATAGGCACCCAGTTTATTATATAATAACAACTTTTATTCAAACGGTTACCTTAGACCTATAGGTAATAAAATATAATAATTAACTAAATACAGGACGTTAACCCTAATAAAACTTATAAAAACCCCACTGCAGTATAATAAGAAAACGCTGCCTTAGTAAAACTCGCAAACTTAAAAAACCTTATATAATAATAAACTACTACTATATAAAAACTTACAAAATAACTTTAAATACTATAAGGACAACCATCAGTAGTACAACCAGTAGTAAACCCCGTAGTTAACCCAGCCCCTGTAGTATAATAACAGGAACCCGGAGAAATCATTAAACCAGCACTACTAGACAAATTTAAAAAAGACCCTAAACAAATCCAGAAGTTTTTTACTAATATATAAAACTACTTTAGCTACTTCCCAACCACTATAACTAATAACATTATAAAAATTTAAACTATAGGAAGCTATTTAACTAAAACCGCTAAAGACTAATTTAAATTACACCTTAGAGACTATAAGTAAACTAAAACTCCTAAAAAATAATATATACTTAACCTATTTAATAACTACGCTACGTTTAAAAAATAATTTAAAAAACTATATAGAAAAATTAATAAGTCTAAAGAAGCAGAGGATATACTCCTTTAAATTAAACAGAAAAAACCCTATGTAAAGTATACTACCGCTTTTATATATTTAACCACTAGAACTAACCTAAATAATAAAGCATAATACATACTCTACTACTAAGGACTTAATTTAAATATTAAAGATAAACTCTCTAGAGATAAAAAACCTAATACTTTTAATACATTTACAGAAAAAGCTACTTATATTAATAAATAATAATTCCAACGGTAATAAAAACGTAAGCAAAAAGAAAACCCCCAGAAAATAATCCTAAAATACCTTTACTTTAGAAATAACACTAACTAGGGAAAAAAAAAAAATCTTACTATATATAATAATAAATAACTAAAACCTATAAATCTTAATACTATTAAAGTATAACGTAAGAACGTTAAATACTATAACTATAAAAAAAAAAAATACATAAAGAAATATTATTAAACCCCTAAAAAGAATAGCAATAAGAAATTCACGCCTATCCCAAAGCCCAAGGAAAACCAAACCATCAATACCATAAAACCTTCAGTAAACCATAATATATTACACTTCTCAGTATACTACAATAACAACTACCAGACTTATTACAGTAATAAACAAGGATTAGGATAATACCCCAAGGGGCATATACAAATATTAAACACACTTAAAGAAATTACCTAAACGCACCTAAAAAAAAATAAAATAACAAAATAAAACACAGCATCCCTAACGCAATACAACCCTTACAAAAGGATAACTTAGGAAAAAATCAACAACCTTAAGAAACATATATACAACCAGTATAAATCAGTCAAACCCAAAGGACTATACCACCCTTACAAAATAACCACAGATAACTAAAAACAGCACAAGGATCAATACAGAATCCAAGGGATTATTAAAGAAAACAAACACTATAATAAAATTATACAACAAAAAAAACTTAAGGACCAACAAAAACTCCTTAAATAATAAAAACAAATTAAATAAATTAATCTAAGTACCGCCTACGACTAAATCTAATTACCCAGAAATTAATTTCAATAATATATTAAAACTAACGCAGACAAATACCTAATAGCCAAAATACTAAAATTAATCCTATATTACGTTAACAATATCTTACTCACCAACTAATATAATAAAGCTAATATTATTAACTATAAACTACTACTATATAAATAATATATTATAACTAAGCTTAATAAATAGCATAAGGATTACAAAGCTATAGAATATAAACAAAAAGAATTTACGCTTTATAACAAAAATTATTATAAAAAACACTAGTACTAACGCCAAACCCTTATATATATTACCTATAACCTAGAACAGCAAGGATTTAACCTTATAAAACACAGTAATAATAATAAGCTACAAGGAATTAACTAAAATAACCTTTAGAAATACCATAAGCTTACTACTAAACATATACCTAAGCCTAAATATACCTAGTGTAAACACTATAATATTTAAAATAAAGAACTAGGGTAGATTACCTTAGACCTAGACGATATTAATATTAACCCTTACGGCAATAATTATTACAACAGTGCCGATAATACAACCTACTATAACCTAAATACCCTTATAAAAGAAAAGAAACTATAAAAATTCTAAGTACCAGGCACCTTAAAAAAATATCTAATTATAGTCTACATAAACTCTAGAGCTATAATAAACTATATTACACCTTAACTAGTTAACCGCCTATAGTTAAACAATTATAAAAAGGAGAAACTATATACCTTTATAAACATTAAAAAATAATAATTTACCTATAATAATAAAACTATTAACTATAAAACTAATCTCCTTAAGATCTAGTTTAGTAAAATTAAAAATATATTTAGTTTTAACATTATAAATATTATAGAATATAATATACTTTTAAAATATAATTAGCTTAAGTTACGTAACCCTAATATTAATTAAATCAGAGGCTAGGCAAGACAGCAAATTTACCCTAAACTAATTAATTTCAGAAATATACTATAACTAAATTAGGAAGATTAATAAAATACTATAATATCCTTAATAATAAAATCAGTAACCCCTATATTAAATAAAAAAACATAAAAACACATAAAAAAAAGAAAAATTATAAAATAAGTATAATTTATAAAAATAAAGAAGTTCCTAAGAATAATTAAATATATTAAAAAACCTAAAAAAAAACAGCTTAGATTTTTAAACTTAATTATATAAAAAGTTAAAGAATTATATTACTAAAACTAACAAACACCAGAACGTTTAAAAAACATACTAATAAACCTCCAGTATATACCAGTCTTTAATAAAAAACTAAATACTAAACTACTAGAACACAGCTAATAAAATTATAAGATTAAGCTTATAAACAATAAAGTCCTAACGTTTAACAAGATCTATAACCTAAGCGCCACTAAACTTAAGATACTTAATAAATAAATTAAAGACTAATTAAAGAAGGGCTATATTAAACCTTCTAAATCCTTAGTAGGATATCCAGTTATATTTATACCTAAAAAGAACGGTAAACTTTAACTTATTATAAACTACTAATAATTAAACGTAATAACCAAAAAAAACATTATACTACTACCACTAATTTCAGAAATTAAAGACCAGCTTACAGAAGCCAACATCTTTACCTCACTAAATCTTAAAGGGGTATATAACCTTATTTAAATTAAAAAAGGCAATAAATAGAAAACCGCCTTTTACACTAAATACAAACTTTATAAATACTAGGT